GAAGATGTAAAGAAAACAAACAAGACCGATATATATATATATATATATATATATATATATATATATATATATATATATATATGTCAACAAATATGTATTAAACAACAAATTTACAAGTGACAATGACATTAACATTTGTGTTTGTGTGTGAACGTAAAGAGTTTGTATTTTGGTGAATGTTCGTACGTACATGTATGCAGTGGCGTAGCTAGAGTAAACGTCACCCGGGGCGGTCCGCTCAAATGTCACCCCAATGACCTCGATTGTCCCTATGCTGGATGGTTAGCTGTAGCTAAATTTTCATACATGCTCTACCTCTACTTTACTCTACTGACCGGTACGTTACTGTTTACATGTATGATCCAAGACAAAATCCAATGCCACAAAATAATCAGTTCAAATCAAAAGCTGAAAACATTGCTATTTTTCCTACTCACAAATTTCCCGACAATTTATTAGAAAATTTCTGACAGGGGGACAAAACTGGGGGATCATAAATTATTTCTGGGGCGGGGGTCATATGCCGGCCTGCGAAACCCTGTGTCTCCACCACTGTTTTCAGACTATTTTTTGCACCTGGTTGAAAAATTTTGTTGGGGGTGACATTGTGTTACCCCTCCTGTGCTGACACCCGGGGCGATCCGCCCTCTCGCCGCCCCCCCTAGCTACGCCACTGCATGTATGTGTGTTTCATGGCTTTTTCCCATAAGCGGACAAAACGCGGATTTCTACGAGAGATTACATTTTTAAACGTGTCCGCTGAAATGCAAATTGAAAAAGTGAACGAGGCAAGAAGTTGCCCAGATTTATAGTGTATGGAGAGTGACCCCTAGTGAAGAATTAGGGAATTAAGGAAGAGCTAATTCCGACAACCTAACGGGTCACGGGTAGTCTAGTGCTTTTATACGATTCAACAGTAGGAGTTGATTCAATCATTAACTTGAGCTCAAATCCTAGACTGAGCAATCAGATGTTACAAAATTGCCCTATGCATGTCCTGTATAGACAAGAAAATGGGATGACGACATCAGTGAGTGGACTGGAATTATTGACAGAAACTCACGCATTTGTATACAATATATGAAGTCTAGAAGAAGGTAAATTCTGAATTCAAACCAGATCACCCTATCCTAAAAGACAGAAGATGGAGAATGCATTTCCTGTCTGCTTGAGTGAAATGCAAAGCGCCTGTCAATTTTTAAATCTTTTCATTTATATCCTCTTTAAATATTGACCAATTTATGATTTTTATTGCAATATTTTGTTGAAGTTGTTAAGCTCAAATATTTAACAAAGCAATAGGGAAATTTCCACAGGTATTTTACAGTCATGCTACTAGGAAGGAGTTGATTCAATCATTAACTTGAGCTCAAATATTTAACAGCTTGGATTGAGGAATCTGAGAGCAGAGTTTAAATTCCAGTTATGTTCATTACTATCACTTACATACTAATACTCTTTGGGAGAAGTATGAATTCATCTCTTCTTCTACTCCCACCCGCTCCCCATGCGTAAAATAGCAGGAAAGACCAAGTCCTATTGCCTTGGGTGGCAACCAGTCTACGAGAAAGTAATTCTGAATTCAAACCAGATCACACTATCCTAAAACTGTGTATACATGTGGCTGGAGAATGCTTGTGAATTTAAAATTCCCACTGCAACTAGTCCTATGGATTTGCATGTCTGAATGAATATGACCTTTGTTAAGCTTGGTCAACTTTTTGAATGCAGCGTATTCGTTTGATGGAGCTTGCTAAACCAACTGGATGAATGCCACAACAGGTACAGGTAAATATTTAACAATGCAATAAGAAAAGAATCCAATCCTTAGCAATCAGATGCTTCAGAACCATCCGCGGCATGTCCTATATAGACCGCATCACAAATGACACAATGCAAGATGCCATTGAACAAGAAACAGTCCCATTCGAAGACCCCATATCCACCGTCAAGAAGAGAAAGCTGAAATGGTATGGACGTCACAACCATCTTTCCACTGTCATCCAACAAGGAACCACTTCGCTACTTATGTAATAATTGTAAAAAAATTAACAATAATACTTACTAAAACTGTTTTTAACTGTCCGATGACTATAAAAAGGCACCGTTGATTCTTTACGGCTAATTTGTTTAAATAATGCGTTGACAATATTTTGCGTCACATGGCAATAATTGTAAGTAAAATAAAACATTAAAATAAGTAACTAAGTAATCATTTTAAGTTCTCTGAATATTGGTGTCATTGTTAAATCTTTTTCAAGATTGTGTCAAAATATATAACCCGTGTCACTACTTATGCAATACAATAAGTAACCAAATACTTAAGCTCTCTGAAAATTGGAGTCGTTTTAAAATAAAATTATGAGATAGATAGATAGATAGATAGATAGATAGATAGATAGATAGATAGATAGCTAGATAGATATGAATTGAATTGACTGAAAAAGATCTGATTAGACTGAAATAGGCAGGCGGAGATATAAAAAGATTGAAATAATTATTTCGCTGGAGCTTTTGATAACAAGGGAGACAAATAAAATAAAATGTAAGAGTTAACTCCCCTGCACTAAATGTCATTTGCTCTGGTAGCCTTTTGTTATTCACAAATTAATGTAATTTTCTCATTTATGTTTTTTCTTTTTTTTTTCAGACTTTTCATAGCTTTCTAGACATTTGCAGTATTTATTATAAAACTTCCGGTATTAATTACCTATTTCTTGCTATCACTATGCATATTGTACCTATGGAACGGTAGCATAAAAATTAAAATATTCATTAAAAAAGAATTCTGCTTTTATTCAGTATCTTGAATTATACGAAAACAAATGCATATTACGTGATTGTCTATCTTCTTTCAATACATTAACCTTCAAATTCACCATGTTCATTTAACTTAGGTACCTCCACTAATCCACCATAACTAAGGTTTAAAAATGAATTTGAAAAATTAAAAAACTTTCTTAAAACTTTCATTTTGGCTTTAATTGAAAGTTAAAGGATTAATTAACTATTTCTAGTAGCCAAAATATTCTGTAGTGTATTTCAAGCAGAAATTATATTGATTGGAGTCCAGTTCACTTTTTTTTCTTTTTGCTGGGGGGCTAAAAATAACTAAATAGCGTCTTTTTTTAAACATCTGGTCATCGCAATCTAATTTTCTTTATTAAAAAATCTCCCAAAAATAAAATATACTTTTCTGAAACTTTATTTGGGAAATATTAGCCGATTTAAAGTATAATTAATTTGATTTGAAAAACTAAAATAGTTGGTATTAATTCAATACCAGCATTTTATTTTATTTTATTTTATTTTTTATAATTAATACGTGATTTCACGTTAGTTAGGATGTGTATTTCGCAAATAACTTATTCTCCAATGAACTTGTTGGGTAAAGATTTCATGGGTCATTGTTTGAATAAAAAAAAATTAAAGCAAAGATTGTTGCGTGATATAAATTATATTTATTTAAACGTAGGATACATGAATTTTAACTGTAATTATTTATGAAATGAAAGTTAGAAATGAACATGAATAGTCTTTCAGTGAGAAAGAAAGTGGAGTTGGGAGACAAAATCAAAAGGAGTTCGCTGTTGCTTAAATGAGAAAATAAAAATAACATGGACTTTTTTCCGTTGAAAACACATTGATTTGGAAATTCTTTTCAAAATCAAATAATTGTCCAATTTTAATGAAATTTTCAGCACTTATTCACAATTGAATGAAATTATTTGTAAATTTTCATTTTAACACCCGAGCGCTAATATCCCTTCAAATTTTTCCCAAATAGTCTTATTTCCGTGCAAATGTATATGCTGAACTCAAATTAACAATTAGATATTAAAGAAACCTACCTTTTTGGATGTTAACGACCCGAAAAAAACGGACTTTTTCCTGGTCTTTCGTCAGACATTACCGGCTTATTGATAAGTAACTAAGTGCTGAATTATGTCGGTGGACGTATACAATTTGGGCCTATTTACTTCCTTCACAGTAATTCCTTGTAGTTAACTTTCAAATTAGAGTTAGGTGTTTTTTTTGGGGGGTATTCTTTTATTTTTATTTTTTTTAAGAAGAAAGTTAACTTTCAAATTAGGGTTAGGTGTTTTTTTTTTCTTTTGTTATTCTTTTATTTGTCGATGTTTACATATATTTGAAAGTTTTAACTTTATTCTTAAATTAAGTACCCAAAAAAATCGCTTTACAGAAGCGCGTACTAATTTCTGAAAGAAAATAGTTCAGCAGTAAATGACGTTCGAGTGTTAAAATGAAAATTTACCAAATTATTCTGGAAATTTTTTTTTTATTTAGAAAATTTTGGTAAAAAATATTTTATTTTTCGTTACCCTACTGAATTTCATAAAATTTCGCACAAAACCTTTCTATTTCTTGATTTATTTATTTTTTATTCGTTATAAGTAGGAGTCCTTGGAGATTATGTAATGTAAACCATCCATTGTTTTTCTCAAATTTGTTCTAAAATTTTGGAATAATGCAATAATAAAAATTTAAATTTCATTTCTCTGATAGATGTCGCGGTCTGTAAATTGAAAATTTGAATTGAAAACCGGAAGGCTGCGCTGAACCTTGCGCGGTGTGTTTAATTTTGTTATTTTCTCCTTTGATTTGATGTTGTTCACTTCCGCCTACTCTACAAACTTAATTTACTAAAAGGTTATTTCAATTAAAGTACTTTTACAGTTTTTAAACAAACAAAAAAAATCATCGCTAAAAAGTGTAAATTAAAAACCAAAAAAGTAGATTACTAATATTACATATGCCGGTCACATCATCGTTTGCATTTTCTAACTGCAGTGGTAATAGTTAAGCTGACCGAAATTTTAAACAAAGAATCTTTATAAAGAATTGAAATGTCTTTCTTCCTTTTAATTCTTGTCTATAACAAGAGTGAAATTTAACGTCATGATTATCGCCCTTGTTTCATCATTTGCCACCAGATGGCGTTGTCGTGACAGCATTGGAGCGGCATTTTAAAAAAAAACATGGCGACTAAACGTAAACCCGAGTGCCAGATCCCTGCCGAAGAGAGCGATCAGTTGATCATTCGGCCCTTGTAAGTTTATGTTTTGTCGATTTATGGATAGTTTAATATTTAATTTGATTTCCATAAAGCGTCTATACTGTATTGCTGTTGTATTCTGTATAACTGGTGCGTGCACGAAACCGGTCGAGGACCCATGTTTCGTTCCCAGGTCAAATCGACAAATTTAAAAATATTTTCCTGTTTTCATTGTCGAAGAATTATTAGTCGTTTCTATAGTTTGTGAGATATTATTTGTTTTATTTAGTTTCTTTGCAACACATTTTTTCTTATATATTTTGATAATAGCGGGAATTCCGATAACGTTTACGTACGTGCTTTATTTTCTTTTCATTTGCTCAAACAACGGATTTTTTTTTTATTTCTGTCTGGAATGTTTGTAAACGAAACTAAGGTCCTTTGTTGTTTCAAATTGGCCCTATCGTATTCTAGATTATTCTTTTATAGTCAATGCACGGTTTAATTTTCTATAGTCATCATTACAAAACTTTATTACCAAGTTGAAAAATATTTTTGAACAAAAAAAAACTTTTTTATGGATGCACAACTGTGTCATAATAAAAATTGAACCTTATTTTTTTTCTTCTTTTAAAAAAAAAAAAATCTATAAGTGAAGCTACAAAAAGCTAATTACCGGCGGATGATAATAATTTGTTATTGTTATAAAAATGTGTACATTTTTAAAAAGAAAATGAGATAAATCACCAAATTTATCTTTTTAGTACTGTCCCACGTGAGGGTTTAAAAAAAAAAAAAGGAAGGTGGGGGGAAACAAATATCGTAAAAATAAATAAAATAATAAAAGTATTTTGTAATTTTATTTATGTTTAAAAAAAAAAACAAAAAAAATTCCCACTTGTCTACCATCCAAGTTTTTTAAACTAACTTCAAACAAGTGTGTGTGTATTTTTTTTTTTTTTTTTTTTTTTTTTAGCGTGTGCGTTTTAATAACTTACTTAATTTACATTTTGCATTCTTAGAGAAATTATTTCACCGGCTATTTATTGAAATTATCTTAATTTGGGCACACTGGGCCCCAAGTGAGGATCGAAGTCCGCTATGTATTTTTAATAATAATTGTCAACCGGGTGAGATCGTTACCGAGTTGGCCAAGAAGGAAGGAAGTCGAAGATAAATTTGAACCAAAAAAAAACTAACCAATCACTAATCAAATTCGTCTTTTGAATCTGCGCTGTCCGGTGTGGGTAAAAAAAAACGCTCAATCACGGTGTGACCTCGAAAATATCACTCTATCTATATCATACTGTCATTTAAAACAACAACTAAAAAACAAAAAAAAATCTGCGTAGAACTGCGTGTCTGAAAGAGTGGGCCCAAGTGAAATATGACGCACATGCTGACGTTATGAATGCTTTTGTAGCAAACAAAGTTTTGTTTACTAATGGTGATTTTTTAACCATGGCCCCAAGTGCTTTTCGACATAAATAGGCAAAAATAGAATAAATGTAATTAATTGGAAAATTGCCCCGCTTTCTGGTGGAAAAGTTATTTTGTAATTTAAATGATTCGTTTTTTTTTGTTTTTTTTGTTGTTGTTGTTTTGTTTTGTTTTTTTAATGTGAAAATGTACATCCTTTTTTTTATTTTTATTTTTTGTTTTTCCTGAACATTATTATTATATTATATTTTTTTTTTATTCGTTTAATTTTTTTTGTGGGGCATTTCAATGCAAGTAAGGTTCTTTTTTTCCTCGTTAGTCCAACATTACGAAAGCCTTGATTAATAATACTAAAATTTTTCTTTTTCTCTGTGATTATGGGTTTGACTTATTTTTCAGGATTTATTCAGAAATCAATTTCATTTTGTCTTATCTTTAAAAAAAAAAAAAAAAAAAAATTATATCCGTTACCATCACCACACACACTTAATTTTAATTTTTATGAAATTTCAATTTTTTTTTATCGTTTACTTACTTTTACTTAGTTAGAAAGACAAGCCCTCAGAATTTTTAAATCATTAAATTTTGGGGGTCAGTCACAGAAAATAATGCAATAGTCTATTGCATTATTTTAGGTACCTCCACGAAATTGCTAAAAAAAAAGATTATAGCATGATGAAAAAGACGCCAAACTTGACGAAAACAAAATATAGGAAAGATCAAAGTTTTTTTGTTTTTTTTTAGTCAGCAAAAATTAACAGATAATCGATCATGGCAACCATCTTTTCCATTTTATAAAAAAAAATGAAATCCCAGTTTGAAATTCTTTTAAATATCTTTTTTTTTTCAAAACTTATTTTAAAAAAATCAAATTATAATGTTTATTTAAAATATTTTGATCCAAGCTTAACTTAGCTTCTGCGCCGAAAAGATGTAATTTGAAAATAAAACAAAGCCGGTCATAAACTTTTGCGTCACTTGACTGACAGGTGATGAATGGCATATTGACGGACTCCGTGAGGATAATTTGTTCTACGGAAGGAGAAAAGTAAAATTTACATTTAAATGAACAAATTATTTATCTCGTTATTTTTAAGGAAAACTGTCAACACTCTAATTTTTTTTTTTTTTTTTTGTACTTAGCTTTCACCTTTACGTTTACGATGCTTTATAGAAAATATATTATAAAGAAATTAAAATAAAACTGTTAAGAGTTAGATTAAATTTCATAAGATAGATGTCTAATTAATTTATAGGTTCCTTTATGAAATTTTATCAAAAGTGTACATAAAATACCGTAATTTTACGTACATTTACTACATTTTACTGTGTTATTTGTATTTCCATTCATTTTATTATTAATTTTGATATTTTATTTATGGAAAATAATGCCATATCTGTGATTAATATAAAAATAAGATCTTAGAAATTTCATAAGATGATACCGATACTTGTAGGTACCCTTCTCAGTTGAAATTGAAAAATCAAATAAACTTCTTCACGCGTGTTTCACAAAAATAAACGCCTTAACAGCGGAGAACAATGCTTAACTCAAATAACGCAACTTAATTATATTCTGGTTGGTCTTCTGTATTTTATAATTATAGTCCGATTATAAACACAATTACATTTCTTAATTACTGCATATCTTCTGATTAGTCAAAATGATACAATTTAAAACACACTAAATAATTCTATTAAAAATTCATTTTTCATCGAAAAAAATTTTTTGTTTTCAGAAAATATTGTCCATATTCATAAAAACAACTAAAAGCAAATAAAAGCATTTGAATTTAAATACTACCTTTGTTTTATTGAGTTTTATATGTTACAATTCAGTGCTGATTTTCAGGTAGGGGCAGTCCAATTAAAAACTAAAAATACCTCAAAGCCTTGTGTTTTTAACTATTGTGATTACTAAAGTGGACTCGATCGAATTTCTAGAGTTTTCATAAAATTAGTTGGAGGGGATTAATAAATATAAAAAAAAAAAAACATTTCTGCCATGACTTTAATAAAAGAAAACACAATAATTTTGATTATCTATGAATAGTTTTTGAAAGTTTCATTAACATCCGACAATTATTTTTATTTTTGCAAGATTTTCCAAATTAATGTGTGTCATGCAAAAAAAGAAAAAATGTTAAAAAATTGTATGTTATTTTTACTAGTTCTGGTAATACAAAGAGAAACAAGGATTTTTAAATGAAAATTCAGATTGTTCTAAAAAGAAGGAAAAGTTTTCAAACAATTAAAATAAACTTTGATCTTTCCTTTTAATAATAACATAAACATTTAGACTATAAAATTGTTTTCATCAAGTTTGGCATCTTTTTCATCATGCTGTGCTCTTTTTTTAGTGATCTCGTGGAGGTACCTACAATAGACTAAAACATTATTTAATTAGAATTGCTTTTTAATTTACGTTTTTTTTTTTTTTTTTGTGGATAAAAAAAAAAAAAACTTTTTAGCATGATGAAAAAAAGGTCCTACTTTCAAACTTAATAAAAAAACAGTTTTATCATTAAATGTTTATCATTAACAAAAAGTATTTTTATTTTAATTCCTTTTTTTTTAATCCTTTTAGCATGTTCGAAATTTTGGTTAAATTTTTTTTTTTTTCTTTCTTTTTGCATTAGAGGTCAACGCAATATTTACAATTATTGTTTTAGCACCTTTTTTCAGATGGAAAACACTTTGGTTTGGAAAGACTTACAAAAACTGAATTGCTGGATTTTAAATACATTTTCACAAATGAATGAAGTTATTTTTATATTTTTTTTATACATGTTACCCTTACTTAATTCACACTTACTTAATTTAACAAATTTTTGAGAAATTAAATTTACATCTGAAAATTGTTTTTAAGTTAAGCAGGACTCTTTGGAAGATGAGAAAAAAAAATCATCGAATATATATATTTTTTTTTTTTTTTTTAAGTACTACTCATTTCATGAAAATCTGCTCCAAATCATAAAATAAAAAAATGCATTAAAACTGAAATTATTTAATTAGGAAAGCTTTTAATTGCTTTTCTAAATAAGATTTATTATGAACACTACTGTCTTAAAATTTTTTTTTTTTTTTTTTCAATGAATAATGAATTTTACAAGAATTGTTTTCTTTTTTCATTTTAATTATAATAATTTATAATATATAAATCTTTTAAAATTCTACATTACTTTCATCCAGTTAGGTGAAAACTATATTTGCAAATCAAATATTGAAAATACAAATCATTTTGCACCAAGATTTTTTTAAATTATCAATGCCAGTTAATTGGTCTACAAGTAACAAGCACATAATCACCGCTAATGTTTGTTTTAAAAATCCATTTCTCTGTTATTTTAAACTTAAAGTAAATCTTTCTTTTTTTAATCAGTTAATATCCCTCAAATAAAGTTTCAGAAAAGTATATTTTATTTTTGGAAGATTTTTTTAATACAGGGAATTACATTGCAATGAAATACTACTAAAAAAAAAAAGGCAATCATCTATTTTAGAAAAAAATTAAAAAATTTGATTCTAATCAGTATAATTTCTGTTTGAAATACACTAGAGTATTTTGCTTGTAAGAAATAGTAAAATTAAACCTTTAGCTTTCAATTGAGATGAAAATGAAAGCTTTAAGAAAGCTTTTTCATTTATAAAAATTCATTTTAAAATAAGGTTCATAAAATTATTGGAGGTATCTATTTTAATTGCTTTTATGAATAAAATATGTAATTGGATGCTATTGTTTTAAGAAAAAGAATTTTCTCAATGATGTAAATTTTTACAAGAATTGTTTCCATTTTCTAATTTTAATTAGAATAATTTCTAAACTTTAAATCTTTCAAAATTCTGTATTAATTTGTTTCAGTCGTGTGATTTTTGTTATTAAATTATTTACTAATCTGACACTATGTAGCGTTTGGCTAACTGATTAAGCGTGGAAATTAAAAACGAGAAATACTTAAGGCGAAGATAGAGACTTAATGACCACACTACGAGTCTTGGGGGTTCTAGTCAGGGAAAAGAAAGAAAAGAAAAAGGAAGATAATTTTTTTTTTTTTTTTTTTCTTTGAGCGATAATTGTAAACCAAGGCCAGTCTAGACGCATTCATTGGCTGAATGGTGGCGTGAGCGATGGGCAAAGGTAAGCATATGAGAAAGAAGGGAAACCTGTTGACGCCCTCTGAGAGGATTGGTGTGAGATACCAATATTAGAAAGAAGAGAAACCTGTTGACGCCCTCTGAGGGGTTGGTGTGAGATACCAATATGAGAAAGGAAGAATTTGGGAGGACAATTCCCTTAAGAACCCCTCTAAAACAAAGTAATGGACTTCCAAAAATGGAAACTGATAAATTTTCCTGTCCGAAAACAAAGAAAATCCTTATTGCAGATTTGGAATTATCGAGGAACCCAAACCACGACAGGCCCGCACCCGGTTTTGGTCGGCGTCCGTATAAACGAACGTCTACTGGGCAGACGCAGACAGAGTTGAGCTGTGAACTCGGAGACAGTCTCGCAGCTGACTGAAAGATATCCACACATTCCGACTTAGACTTCTAACCAAAAGCAATTTTTTTTTTTTTTTAAGATCAACTTAGACTCACACCACCAAAACAAGTTTTACGAATATAGCCTGAAGATACCAAAAAACCAGTTTCTTGAAAAACAACTTAAGATATTAGGACTCACCTAACAAACGCAAATTGTCATGTATCCATAGAAGCGGTTTGGGAGAAAGATGCAGTCCTCTATTCAGCAACCAGATATAAAAATATTTGTTATTCTTTTTTTTAACGCATTTGAATCTTTCGAGTTGTTACTTTATTTTCTTTTACATATACTTGTGCGGTGTCACCTTTGCTCGAATTCAGCTTGAACTATGGCCTGACGACTGATTGATTCCGTCTACCTAAGATCAAATCACAACGTGGGTAGGTTAGACTAGAAATCAAAACAGTTACTTTGGTAACCAGACGTTGGAGGCGAACTGGGAATGACAAAGCTGATACCAAATCTAACCAGATTCCCATCCGAATCAGCCAAGGGTTAGAACGTCACATTTGGCGCCGCGACCAATACCAAGTCACATTAGTCATCACAGGATAGCACAGGGGCAGAGGCACAGGGTGACGTCACACTAATCATAAATAGAAAATCTCAGTACAATTCAGTGACCCACACACCCATATTTTAGAAATAATTTTAAAATTATTCTATGTGTATAAACGTTGTTTTACAAAAATATGTATGGCAATATGTGGCATTATCAGAAAGTAAAAGTAGTAACTATAGCAAATTTTAAATTTATTGGTAATTTTCTAATATTTCCTCAACAAGCATCTTTGTAAATACCTAAATTTCAATAAAATAGAAGAATGCTTAAGATATTTAAACTTTAAGATTATTGGGTAGTTTTTTTTTTTTTTTTTTTTTTTTAAGTTATTATGTTGAATTTATGTAATTTTAAAATTTTTTATTTCACTTTCCCAAACATCAGATTGTCGTTAAATCTGTCAGCCCCTTATTGTTAAAAATTCTTTTCTGTGATATTTTAAACTAAAAGTAATACCTGTTTCAGAAAAGTAAATTTTATTTTTGAAAAATTCTTTTTTTCTTTTTCTTTTTTTTTTTTTCTTTTTCTTTTTTTTTTTTTTCTTTTTTTTTTTTTTTTTTTTTTTTTTTTTTTTTTTTTTTTTTTCTTTTTTTTTTTCTTTTCTCCTTTTTTTTTTTTCCTTTTTTTTTTCTTTTTTTCTTTTTTTTTTTTTTTTTTTCTTCTACTTTTTTTTCTCCTTTTTTTCTTCTTTTTTTTTCTCCTTTTTTCTTTTCTCCTTTTTCTTTTTTCTCTTCCTTTTTTCTTTTTTCTCCTTTTTTTCTTTTTTTTTCTCCTTTTTTTTTTTTTCCTTTTTTTTTTTCTCCTTTTTTTTTCTCCTTTTTTCTTTTTTCTTTTTTTTTTTTTTTTTTCTTTTCTCCTTTTTTTTTCTCCTTTTTTTTTTTTCTCCTTTTTTTTCTTTTTTTTTTTCTCCTTTTTTTTTCTCCTTTTTTTCTTTTTTTTTTTTCCTTTTTTTTTTTTCTTTTTTTCTTTTTTTTAAATAAATTTTTTTTTGTGTTGATAGATTTGTCAATATGTACAATTCAATTTATCGATTCAGGAAAAAATAATTCCAATCCATTTGAATTCTGTTTGCAATACAGCAAAGTATTTTGCTTATTGGAAATATTAGGTTTAATCTATTAGCTTGGAGTTAAAACTAAAATAAGTTTCAACAATTTTTTTTTTTTTTTTATGCAATTCTAAAACTTGTGAATCCAGCTTCTTTTTTTCTTTTACCTATTGTTGTTTTGTTTTTTTTTTAATTAAATTTTCCAAACAACTGCAAAATGAATATCTTGCTCAAAAGAGGATTAAAATAATAAAGATTTATGAGGTTCATTGGATCAGATTAAAATCAATTGACTTGGGGGAGGGGAGATTTGATAGATTTATCGGGTGCAAATGTAATGAATTTGCCAGTGGAATTTTTAATTTAATTACTGGTAACTTGCATAATCAGCTTCCAACCTACAGAACATTTCTGATTCTTGTAATAGCAGAGTAGAAAGCATAATGAAACACAGCACGCATCCAAAGTACCACTTGTTTGAGCTGTTACCCTCAGGTCGGCGTTTTATCCCTCGGACAAAACACTTGAGGTACAGTTCTTTAGGCCCTACATGAAATAAACACTACCAATTTTCAACATATTTTAAACATGACTTTTCTTCATTCGATATGCCATCCAGTTTCATTGCATATTAAAATGCACAGGTTATAGGTGTATTGGTAGAAATTGTAGGTTCAGGAAATGGGTTTGCTGGTTCATACTTGAAGCTAGAACTGGATACTGAAGATTACCTATTACGGGGTAAATAATGTACCTTAAGAATTTTGTGCTCGGGGAACTTACAATGAGTAGTTCCAAAATGTTATATAATGTGTGAAAATTATATAACAAGACAATGTGGAAGTTGGAGAAGAATATATTGTCAAGCATGACAAAGGTGGAAGTTTAATGAAGGTAGAGATAAGCAATTTTTCCATTTGAAATAGCAAACAAAACATAAAAATAAGTCTTTACTATTACACTGTTTCTTCCCTATAAACCTATTGGTTCTTTTACCAGGAACCAGTTCCAACTGATCCTGAAATTTAATAAATATCATTTTATTATTTTTGTCTTTTTGTTTAGCAAGCAGTCAGTGTAATTCACTACTGCTTTTCCTGGTGTGTCTAGTAAAGAGTAGTCAAGCCAACAAACAAAATTAATCTTAGAAAATCTTAGATACTCCATTTCTTCCAGCTCTAATTGATATGTATGATAGTGTCTTTGTTTTTTTCTTCTTTCACTATTTCCAATTAAAATATCCCTCTTCTGTTTCAGGGGGGCTGGACAGGAGGTTGGTCGTTCGTGCATTATGATGGAGTTTAAGGGAAAAAAGATTATGGTAAGTTTTGTGATGATTTATATTAATTTATTAGTTTGCCAGATTGCACTAGTTTACAGTCTTTCTGTGGTACAGTAACCTCTGCCACTTAGTCATAGTTTTAGTAACCACGCACCATTTTGAAAATGAACGAATTTTATTTTAAAACAAGTCATGGTGTTGCAAATTCAGTTATATGCCAGAGGGAATTGGGGAAAGGTCTTTTTATGCTTAATTAGTAAAACTCACTAAAAATCATTATCACCAAAAAAAAATCTTTATGATCTAAAAATATTTTCTGGCTTTAAATAACCTACAAATGGTTGAGAGAAAAAAATCAATCAATCGGTCTCGAGTAAATCTAAAATTTAAATTATAATAATAGTGTAATGGGAGACAGCTATGGAAGAGATTTATTATCCCATTTGTATTTCCCCCATCATAGGCATATTATATCCGTGATATAATAACACCCTAATTCACAGACGGAATGGTTGAAAGGAAAAAGAGCTGGAATTTCTTTATATATCTGAGAAAGATATGTTCCCAAAGAGAAACAGCACCATGGATTTGTAAGCTACTGGAGAGGCGGACTTAGTCTGTATCTGAGCAATGGATAACCCTTTCGATTTGACTGCTGTAAAATACTGAAATTTGACTGCCACTTTAGTCATTCTATGAAGTAATGTCACTAAGCAGTCTCTCATGTAACTTATCTCCACCAAAGGGAAACGAGCGCCTTCTGTATCCCTACAATAGCAAGCAAGCATTTTCAGCCCTCTCAAACAAATATTTTAGATAGTTTATAATGAATAACAAATTAAAAAAAAAAAAAAATTTTCAAAGACAATATAAAATGGCTGGCCATTGCTTTCCAAGCACACCCGTCTGCAAGGGCAGGTAGCCAATCCAAGTAGCAGATGCATGCCCAGTCACATTTGTCTTCAACAGCCACAGAACCAACCTGTGGTTTATATTGCAACTATGCTGAGCATTTTAGAGTTTCTGGGATATAGTGCCTCATCTGACATGATCAACAGTTTGAGCAAGAACTGTACATTCAAACCGTCAGTCATATGACTTCATGCTAGTACTCCCCTTCTGAATAGTTCTGTATACCTAGTTTCACTAATGAGGCTTGGGTTAACCTGTGGTATTTTGATTTGTTTTATGGCATATGAACATCAATGAGTCATTTAATGCCAACAACTTTTTTTCCTGGTAATATTTTTGTTTTCTCAAAAATCTATTTCTGGTAATATCTTTTCCCTCAAAGATGTATAGCTGGTAATATAATTTTAAAAAATGTATTGCTGGTAATATTTCTTTAAAAAAACCTGTTGAATGGTAATTGCAGTGACCTAATAAAGGAACAAAACTTTTAGATCATGTGACCTTTTTCATAATAATGGCAATTTCAGTCTACCATACATGAAAATTAGGAACATATTAATTAAAAAAAAAAATACTAAATAAAAGTTATTTTAAAAATAGAATTGCACAACTATGTTTATTATTATTATTTAACACTCAGTTCACTGTTCAAATTTAACAGGGCTCTAAAAATGTCTTCAGACAATAAATTTTTTTCCTGTCTGGGTAGGTACAGACACTAAGGAGGACAATATTTTTGATAATCTTTAAATATAATATGCTATATATATATATATATATATATATATATATATATATATATATATATATATATTAAAGACATTTTTTTCTTTTTTATAGATACAAGTATTTAAGTAAATGCTCTGTTTATAATAAACGGTATTAAATAACATTTACCGGCCTGAATGTCCGAGAAATTTTCATAGAAAATATTCGTCCTTTGACAGGATTCGAACCTGCATCCTATACTTAACCGTCTCGGCCACAAAGGAGCGTTCGGTAGGCAAGGTCGAATTTACTGCTTATAAACTTCAATCTTCCATGAATCTCGTACATTCATAACTGCTCTGGCGTATCAAATGTAAACAAATGACGTTATATATTAAGAAATGGACAAAGTCTGACAATTTATTTATTAAAGACATTTTTTATGTTTAACGTTCTTTTTTATAGATAAGTAAATGCTCTGTTTATAATAAACAGTATTAAATAACATTTACCGGCCTGAATGTCGAGAAATTTTCATAGAAAATATTCGTCTTTTGACAGGATTGAACCTTCAGGCGTAAATGTTATTTAATACTGTTTATTTAAACAGAATACTTAAATACTTGTATCTATAAAAGGGTTAAACATAAAAATGTCTTTTAATAAATAAATTGTCGGACTCTGTCCATTTCTTAATATATATATATATATATATATATATATATATATATATGTGTGACAATTGAGAGCAGTGTGCAAAATTTTGGCATGAGACACACGGAAGTCATGACCCCATTCACACACACACAAGCTACCATGCTGACAAACTACAAAGCAATCCCCTTCTTTCGCTCTCTGCAAACTATGATCAAAGTGGAAGGAGTGATGGAAAGTGACCACGAAAAGAAACGGATACAAAACTGCAATGAAAAAAAAAGGAGAGGAGGTGGGTAAATAGAAAGGATAGAGGCGATAAATATATGTCACACAAAACTTGGCCAGGGTTTATATTTTATTTCAGCTTGAATTAAACCTCACATGAAGTTACATTTCTTCGAGGGGTCTTGGATTATGAGATTGACTATCACTAGCAATGATGATCTAATTTCTCAGCAAATTTGTCTCGAGAACACCCAAAAGTTGTGTGTACATGCATGCTCATATACACATATACAGATATCTTTCCTGAGGTGTTTATAAATTGTACACTATTCTTTTATTAATGTTAACAAACAATTTTAAATTACAAATTGTACTTGGACCAAATAAAAATTAATTACAATATAATACATATTACTCGTACATTTCTTCTTGCTGCCAATTTTGACGATACAAGTACACCCTTTTTTAAGATAATAGATACCACATTATTCATTTGATGTTATTCTTTCATTGGGCTGTGTGGCTGGCATGAAATAGATATGTTGCCTTACCAGGCACTTTCTTGGTTTGGGGATGGGGGGTAATTTATTTGTATATTTAAATTACAGAGCTTTTGTTCTGTCAATTTAAAATATATATATATATATATATATATATATATATATATATATATATATATATATATATATATATATATATTTATTTATATATATTTTCAAAGAATATAGTTTCTTAATTGCCTGTTTTTGTTTTGGATTTATTAATTTAATTAAAAATAGTCATCCAGTCAAGTTAAATGGGTCAGCATGATTAAAATTGTTTTTGGGGATGATGGTAAAGAAGAAAAAAAATTTAGTCTGAACACAAAAATTTATTAAGAAACTTTGGTTGGGACCCATTGAATTTCTAAGGGATACACCAAGGTCACCAACTGCGTGTTCCCAGGGACTCACTACATTTATTTTCTTTGTAGTTGAAATTTGACCAAATAAATTATTTCACCATAAACAATCTTACTTATTATAAAACGCAGATTGTGTGTGTGTGTGTCTGTACATTTATATATTGGATCGGATTTACTACATTTTTCGACCGATTTCAACAAAGCTTCCCAGGACTACGTGAAATTACTTTGCGGTGGTTCTAACAGCGCCAAAAATTTGAAAAACAGAATTGTTTTTGCATGAAATCAATTTGAAAACACGATTAAGAGACATCATGAGAATGAAAGGGGGACAACCCATATCGAGTTATACTTATTATAAAACCCAGGTTGTTTGTGTGTGTATGTGTGTTCGTTTATATATGGGATCGGATTTCCTACATTTATCTACCGATTTCAACAAAACTTCACTCTTTTTTGGCAGGTAGTGTTTCTTATTGTCTTTCACACTTTTTTCTTTATTTATACATTCAAAATGCTTTAAAAATTCCATTTACAAGACAATTGTTTATGATAAAATTCTATTCAATCGGTAGACTCATAACGATTGAAAACAATGTTTTTGATTGAGTTTTGGGTTTGACCAAAAAGTAAAAAAAAAAAAAAAAAAAACTAATTAAGACATGCGTGTCTGTCAACCTTAAACAATAATCTTTGTCAATTTTATTTTTCAGTCTTTATGATGGTCGATACTTGATCTATCTCTTACTGTTACAACGCCGGGCTCTTCTGCTAGTATTCAATACTTTCTGCAGCTACAATATTTGTCAAATTCAAGCCATTTTAAATCTGATCATCTTTTCTCTCTCTCTCTCTCCCCCACCCCACCAGGTGTTTCTTAGTTTCTTTTGTTCTATAAAGAATTAGCATTTCCAACCAGATGTTGGTCATTCTTAAAACAAGAACCTTATCCTTCAAAGTACCATTTTTAAATTGGTTGTGCACTATAGAAGGATATTCTAAGGGTAGAGGTAATTTCCATTTTTGAATTTACCTTCCTGACAGAGATCAAAACCTTTTTAGTGTTTTTCAATTGAAACCTGGCATTTGGCAATAAAATACATAAACCAATTAGAATGTAATTTTACTTGCTTCTAAGTGATGCTAAACTAATTTAAGTTCTCTTTTCACTAAGTTTAGACTGAAGTGCCTAAAATATCTGCTTGCTAAGGTTTTTTTTTTTTTTTTTTTTTTTTTTTCTCTTAAAATATCTTACTGATTATATATTTATCTTTATTTCAATCTCGGTATAGAGAATTCAGTTTTAGTTTTTTAGAATTTATAATACTCTTGACATTATTTTCCAAAAAATACATTTGCTTGACACCAGTGGTGGACTGGGTCTAAAAATATTGGTTGTCAGGAAAGCAGCTTCAATATTATCATTTAATTTCCATTACTAATAAATTTCAAAAAAATGCACATGAAAAAAAATGGTTTAATTAAAAATTTTGTGGAAAAAAATGTGTATTTCTTAGTAATTACTGTGTACATTATACTGTACATATTAGTAGTAGATACCAAATGTAAATAAAGAATGTTATAATTGAAACAGTTTTTTTTTAATTCTAAGTAATTGGTTGCTATTTTTAAATCATTTTCTGCAGAATTTACTCCTTAACAGAAAGTACAAGAGCACAATAGAGCACTACATGCAGTCTACAATATTATGAGCACTACAATATTGTATTCACTAGATGATTTTGAATTTGCCAATAATTACTTCTGCATCTAATTCATGTGACTTTTCAATGGATTGCAACATGTATGATTCCAAATTCTCCTCACACAGACAATTTCTTAACCTTGTCTTTATGATGTTTAACTTTGAAAACGTCTTTGGACATTGGACTTGAGTAAGTGATAATGTGCAGATGACTTTAGAAAATTTTTTATTACCAAAACAGTTGTCTGTGTTTGTTTCTTTATTGCATTTTTATTTGATCTGAAGGACCCACTTGCCATCAAGCAAAGCTGATATCCTGGACAGTCTGTAACTCCTTGAGACTGTAGAAGCTCAGCAAGCAAACATCATTCAACACCTAGTCTCTGATTGATTAAGGATTGCAGAACTGGGATTTGCCTGTTCCCTATAATTGCTCTGTTTAATTTTAAGTAACTTTTTAAATAACGCGTGTGAAATTTTTGTTGTAGTTTGTTTGTGTGTGTGTGTTTGTGTGTGTGTTTTTTTTTTTGTGTGTGTTTTTTTTTGTTTGTGTGTGTGTGTGTTTTTTTTTGTTTTTTGTTGTGTGTGTTTTTTTTTTTTTTTTTTTGTGTGTGTTTTTTTTTGTTTGTGTGTTTTTTTTTTTTGTTTTTGTGTGTGTTTTTTTTGTGTGTGTGTGTGTGTTTGTGTGTGTGTGTGTGTTTTTTTGTTTGTGTTTGTTTTTATTTTGTGTCTGAATGAGGAGGTAGCTTTATTAAGTCAGACTATATATGACATTATTTACCTAGGGTTTTTGAACATTCATCAATGTGATTTCTTCTATAACAGAAAAGCAAAGTTCGCTTTTATTTTACCTCTAATTGTTTGTCTGTTTTAATTGTTCTAGTTGGATTGTGGCATCCATCCTGGACTTAATGGATTCGCTTCATTGCCTTTCCTGGATTTGGTTGAAGTGGAAGAAGTGGACTTATTGTTGGTTAGTCAGTAAGTTTTTTTTTTTTTTTTTTTTCCTTTTACCTCTCCCTTCTCTCATCTCCTCTCGGTCCCCATCTCTTATCCTCTAGTTTCCACTCTTTCTTCTCCAAGAACGTCAAATTTCTTATTATATTGTATATCTATACAATGCTAAAACTATAATCTTGTATGTATGTTCCCGTCATACAACTTAAATGATACATAATACTTATATTGTACCTTGAACCTCTGCCGAGTGCATTGCCAAATTTCATTAAAATTAGTCGCATTGTCCTTGAGCTAAGGCCCGTTTTCTGTTTTTACAGCATTTTTAATGAATTCAGTATTTGTTTCCAATACATATTCAGATATCAGTCCTCATATATAAACAAACACTTGTGTATTATATGCCAACCAATATGTGTCTGAAAAATAATAAATATGCATAATAAATTATTGCTACATTATTAAATAAATTTAAATATACATGACATGTATTTTTACAATTCACTAAATTAGAACTTTTTTTTTTTTTTTTATAAACAAATATCTCAAATGTTTGGCAAGTACTTGATAGGCGAAGATGCTATGTGGGTGTGTCATTGTAAAACGTAATCTGTATGGCTGGAAAATTGTAACATGACTAGATGGTAATTAAATAGATGCACACTGGTTTGCCACCATTATGCATTTTGAAATAAATGGGAGGAAGAAACAAGTTGTATAATAAAAAATATAATTATTTATTACTGCGTTTGAGCTAAGTAATATTGTATAATTTAAGTAATAATAATTACAATAACTTGTATTGCAAATACAAATTAAAATATGCGTAATTAATAATAAAATTGATACTTCATCTTGTATCATGATCTGCTTTTAAAAGGAACTCAACAGGTTTATATGGGTGATTTAGAACATTTTTATGTATGTCTGTACACAGATGAATTCAAACATTAACATCACCTCCCTACAATAAAGTTTTGGTTATCTAAATGTCTGTAAATCAGCGACTACATTTCCTTTGATCTAAGACAGTGGTTCTCAAAGTTTTTTTTTTTTTTTTTTTTTCTCTCTGGGCCACATTTTCGGAATGAAAATTTGCTTGCTCATCACCAAATTTTATGTGAGGAAAAAGTACATTTAAAAATTAAAAAAAAAAAATAAGTTTGGGTTAAAGGGAGATAATCGCGGATTCAAAGTCAGAACCTTATGATTGATAACTCTCTCCTCCAATTTGCAGACCCTTGATATAATGTAAAAATATCACAATGATAAAATTGATCAATAATTATTTATAACTATTTATACTGGGACTCATGCATGCAATTACAAGTCAACCATAATATTTAAAATTTTGGAATCGTATTAATATATATGAATTTTTTTTTAAACTGTTTCTGAATCTTTGATTGTCTTTGCACCACACCTGCTGTCCTCTTACGCTATACCTATGAGGTGTGCCACATTATTTGGGAACCCCTGATTTCGGGCGTAAATTCCCCTTTGGGTAACTGGCTATAATGGGTTAGTAAGTTAGATTTTGTAATCTGTTTTGTATTACCCTAAACTTGTTGCTGTTCAGAGGAGCTTTAATTTTTACCCATCCAGCTACCTCGGACTATAAATATCCAGCCAGCACAGTACAGTTTTTCTATTTTGGCTTGTAAAACCGTAACTGTGTAATGGTGGTAATGCCCCCTCCCATCAATTAAATTATCTTGGCTGAATCAACTTCTCAGCCTATTCAGACATTCATTTTTTTTCTCTCTCTGCCTATCTCTCATTCATCTCTCTCTCTCCCATCTCTCATCTCTTGATCTCATCTCTATATCTCTTCTATCTATCTCCCCAATCTCCCTCCCATCTCTTCTCTATCTCTCATCTCTCAGCTATATTCATCCACATTCATCTCTCCCACATTTTTTTCTCATCTCTCATCATCTATCTCTCTCTCTATCTATCATCCATCTCTCTCTCTCTCTATCTATCTATCTCTCTATCTATCTCTCTCTATCATCTCTCCATCTATCTATCTCCATCCATCCTCTATCTATCTCTCTCTCTCTCTCTATCATCTATCTCTCATCTATCTATCTCTCTATCTCTCATCTATCTCTATATCTATCTATCTATCTCATCTCTATCTATCTCTCTATCCATCTCCCTCCATCTATCTCTCTCATCTATCTCTCCCTCATCTATCTCATCTATCTCCATCATCATCCCCATCCATCTATCTCATCTCTATCCATCCCCATCCTCTCCATCTCTCTCCTCCATCCCCCATCCATCCCCATCCATCTATCTATCTATCTCCCCATCCATCTCTATCCATCCCCCCATCTCTATCTCTCTATCCATCCCCATCCATCCTCCCCATCCATCCATCTATCTCTCATCCATCTCCATCCATCATCTCTCTATCCTCCCCATATCATCTATCCATCCATCCATCCATCTCATCATCCCTCTCCCCATCCCCATCTCTCCATCCTATCTCCATCATATCTCTCCCCATCCATCTCTCTCTCTCTCTCTCTCTCCATCTCTCCCCATCTCTCTCTCCTCTCTCTCCATCTCCATCTCCCCTCTCTCCCCATCCATCTCTCTCCATCCATCTCTCCCCATCTCTCATCTATCCTCTCATCTCATCTCTCCCCATCCTCCCCATCATCTCCCCATCCATCCATCTCCTCCATCCATCATCCTCTCCATCTCCTATCCCCATCTCCATCTCTATCATCCATCCCCATCATCTCTCCATCTATCTCCATCCATCCCATCTATCATCCCCATCCATCCCCATCCATCTCCCATCCTCTCTCTATCCTCTCTCCCCATCTCTCCCCATCATCCCCATCTCCCCCCATCATCTCTCCCCTCCATCTCTCCATCCATCCCCCATCTCCTATCCCCATCCCCTATCCATCCTCATCTATCCCTATCCTCTCATCCATCTCCCCCTCCTCTCCCTATCTCTCCCATCTCCCCTCTCTCTCTCCCCATCTCTCTATCCATCTCTCCTATCTCCCCCATCCATCTCTCTATCTCTCTATCTCTCCTATTTTATCTCTCCTCTCCCCCCATCTCTCTTCTCCTCTCTCTCTCTCCCATCTCTCCTCCCCTTTTTCTCTCTTTTCTCTCTCTCTCCCCTCTCTCTCCTCTCTCTATCTAAAATTGTCTTTTCTTTTTCAGTTTCCATTTGGATCATTGTGGTCTATCCCTCTCTCTTACTTTTTAGAAAAAGACAGCTTTCTAAAATTGTCTTTTTCTTTTCAGTTTCCATTTGGATCAACAAGGCTACTTTTAGAAAAGACAGCCAGATGTTTCATGTTACATCTCTATTTGATTATGTCAAAGTCAGGTAAGCTCGGCGTTTTCATGTTTAATTAATTGAAGAGATTTATTAAACATTTGTACTGATCAGCCAGATTTCTATATTATATAGTCTAACTATTCCAAAATTTAAATACCTTAATTATTTTCAGTTTATCTAAAAATCTTAATATATGCATAGAGATCTTGACAAACAATAAAAAAATGGTACCAAATTTATTTTGGTAGCTCTATTATCATTAAAGTTCATAAAAACATGCTATTGGACAAAAAGTCAATTTCAACAAGGGTATAATTGAATATGCAAGCTTCAAGCAAGTTAAAAATCATTATAAATATAATGTCATATAGGTAGTCTTGAAGTAAAAAAAAACAATACTAATGGAATCAGTAATCATTATATCAGACCAGCCTAAACATTGAGGAAAATCTTGTTTTCAAAAACAAAAGCATAAAAATGACACAGAAGGGTAAATTTGATTGATCATATAAGTTTCATTTCAACAGTTAATGACTTGCATAGTCTTCCTATACTTCATAGTAAAATAGAAATGAAGTACCCCTCACTCTGCCTCCAGTAGTACCTTCAAAAAAAAAAAAAAAAAGAAAATGTATATTTACAAAGGATAAATAAAGTTAGATTCACAATTTGACAGTGGAGCAAAAACAATTCAAAAGTATACCATTCTGATCTCTCTCTCTCTCTCTCTCTCCCCCCCCCCTTTCAAAGCATCCATTGGAGGTAGTTTAGTTTTTCCTTCCGCTTGTGGTGTTAGTCATCACGGGGGCACACAGTCTCCCAGCAGCAAAGCGATTGGCCTGAACAAGAGATATCTCGTGTTCTGAGAGTGTCTGGCAATGAGTTGCTCCAGCATTTTCTTGATCTGCCTCTTGCTCTCCAGCCAGAGTACCATTGGGGGAACATGGCCAAAACTTTACTAATTTTGGGATGAGGTCTTCAACAGCTTCTTTCTTTTTTTTTTTTTTTTTTTTTTTTTTTTTACTGTAATATCAATACTATTTGTAATATATCTATTTTATTTTGTGAAATTGTCATTTTTAACTCATAAATTTGTTTTTCATTTGACAAAGGCGATCAGAATTGATAATTTCTGCTCTTTGCTGGAACTAAAAAAAAACCTTTATCATGGCACTGAATGTAAAAGTTGAGGTCATAATATACTGCAACCCATTGGCCTTGTTACTCTTAACTGAAGGTCACCTGAGGTGGTCGTTCTTCATTACGACTGCTAGAGTGATTTAAATATTCAGAATCACTGAGTACCTTTTTCTTTCCTTTGTTTTTAAAGGTGGAGGTGAATCAACTTATTTTTCATGTTGTCAAGTAGTTATAAATAGCAGTTTCAACTGAGATTTATTTCCACTGGTATGATCTGGATGCCAAAGAGAACCATCAGATATCTAAGTTGATCTTTCAGTGTTTCCAAACCACTATTTGTTTAATAGACTTCACAGGATCATCGTGCTTGATGACTGGGTTAATGATTCTCCATTTCTTAGCAGATATTTGATGTTCTTTTTCCTTCTCTTGCCTCTCATTTTTAGCAATCCTTTTGTGTACATGAAGTTTCTTTCTTGAAAGGCCAAGAACTGATTGCAATTCAGTTGCTGATTTGGCCACCAGTTAAACTGTATCCTGGTTACGCTTATGCATGTTAGAGGTTGTTTGATAGTGAACTTGCATGTGCTGTCTTTTTCTTTTTGGCAGTTTTTAATATAATGCTAACCATGAGTTCTCTCATTCTTAATTCTTCTAGAATTTTTTTCCCCTCCTCCAATATTTTTAACACAACTGGTACCTAGTGTCTAAAGCAAGAATCGAAACATTTTACTGGCAACTAAAAATAACCTTTTTATAGAAAAGATTAATTGGAAATTTAACACATAAACAAATCATTTGGAAAAATTTGTATTGCTTAAGTTGACTATTAAGTTGATGCTTGAAGTAAGATTTCCTAATTGACTTATTATATATGTTGTGTGTATATATATATATATATATATATATATATATAAACACATAAATATATAATATATATTTATATAAGATATATATCATATATTATCAGCTATATATATATATATATATATATATATATAGGCTATATTATTATATATATATATATAGCCATAAATATTGCACATTTTTGAAGATATATAGCCAGTCTCAGCTAAAGAAAAATAGGCTGAATTATAAACCAGTCCTGAATTCAAACCTGCCTGGAGAGGCTTGGGCTTACCCTGTAAACATTACTGTGGCTGCAGTGCATGTGATGCCCCTATGATGCTTGGATTACAGAACTCGTGATTGTAATCTTGCTTATTTACTGTGTAAAATGTGTTATGAAATTCACTACCAGTGATTTTGTTACCTAGCTGTAAATTAAGTAAGAAAAAGAACAATTCACAACATACAACTTTTTTTTTCTTTTTCTCTTACTAAATCGTATTTCTTCAGGGTATCGTTTGGAGCCTCAATTCTAATTCAACAAAAGACTTAGATTAATTTCATTTCTGTTTTTACTTTCAGTAACATTGCCACTGAAGACATGTTGTACACCGAAAAAGATATTGAGAACAGCATGGACAAAATAGAAACCATCAACTTTCACCAGGTTGGTCACTTTGTCTAATATTTAAATGGCTTCTTCATTTTCTCTATTTTTGTTCACAGATTAGTACTAAGTACAAGAGTGTGCTGACTATGAAGGAATGATGCTAGAACAGTGAAATCTTGTATGCCTTAATTTTAGCTTTTTTTTTTTTTTTTTTTGCATTGATTATTTCCAGGTAAACTGATATCTAACTGTAAAGAAGACTTCAAAAGTAACTAGTAGCGACTTCCCTTGAAAATGAACAAAATTTGGCATCTTATCAAGTAACTGCAGAAAAAAAGGGTTTAGAAAAGGCCAGAAAAACTGACAAAGGAGATCTTGATTCATCAGGGCAATGCTCCATCACACGTCCTTGGTTTCAATGGCTGTTGTTCGTGGCTGTGGCTTTAAACTGATTGATCACCCTCCCTATTCTGATTTGGCCATATCTAACTATTATCTGTTCCCAAATTGGCTGGGAGCCAGTATTTGTCTTCATCTTGCTTACAGAAAAAGTCTGGCCAAAATTTTTTTAAATATCAAATCTATCCCCATCTCCTTCCCCTACCTGTTTATATAATTTCAAAGTAAAAATGTTTTGAATCATTTTTGTAGTTTGGATAGAATGACATCAGTCAAACAATATTCTTTGTCTGTTTCTGTTGCATTTTCCTGGTTGGATATTTAAAAAAAATATTACATCTTGTGTTCGTTTTCCATTCTTCTCATCCTCTTCCCCAATCACTGCATTTAATAGAAACCTTCCTGGCTCGCAAAAACAATATATTGTAGTTTTCAGAAATATTCCTTTTTTTGGTTAATCACTACTTCAATCAAGGTGATAATACCTCTAATACGCAAGAGGCTGTTGAGAGTGAAAGAGAATGAAGACTTTAAAAACTCAAAGCGAAACAGTAAACTAGGAATAAACCTCTACTCCTGTCCAAAAGACCATGGGGATGAACAGGATGATAGGCAAACCTATCAACTCCTATTGGTGAAAAATAAATTGTAAACATTTAAAAAACAAACCAAAAAAATCCAAGTTAGTATTGTAACTAATCAGTTTAAAATGTAAGTAAAAATAATTTCAATAAACTTAAGATGTAATAAAAATTGAAATTAATAAATGAAATAATAGTTTTTAACAATATCTTTTTCTTTTTTTTTCTTTTTTTTTTTTTTTTAAGCATTTTTCTTTAAAAAGAAAAAAATTAGTTGTTTTCTTAAAATGTTTTTTTTTTTTTTTTTTTTTTTTTTTTTTTAAATATTAAAATTAAATAATTTCTTAATACAAAACTTAAAAATATTGTGAAGGTCAATTTAACAAGTCGCCTTTTTAGGTTTTTTTTTTTTTTTTTTTAGATTCACACATTTTGAAAAAAAAAAAAATGGAACCAATATTTAAGTAATTTGGTTATATTTTCTTCAAGAGACATTGTAGAATTTTTATCTGTAAAATTAACCCTGTGCTGCCATCCAGATTTCCCCTATTTACTAATGAGATATTTCGTTGTTATGATAACACAGATCTTGACAGGCGGGCTTGAGTCCGGAGTCGGGGTGGCAAAACACAAATAAAATGGTGTTAGGTTGATCAATTTAAAAACAAAATATACCCGCTCTGTGGACTATGGCACCCTTTTTAGGAAAATGTCTAATTACTACTTTTATTTAATGCTGGATTTAAGTCTTCTGGAACAAAAAAGTTATAATGGATTAATAGATAGGTAATCACAAACACAGCTTACGAAAAAAGGTAGATATTGATTAGATTTGTGCCCAAGTGTCCATTTGAAACATAGCTTCTCTCAGTGTGGGGGGGGTCTAGTCAGCATATTCTAACTCCTGACAGCAGTGCCGTTATTGACGTCAAGTAACACCTGATAGCATGAATACAGAATATCTCATTACTGAAAAAAGGGAAGTCAGGCTATGAGGTGCTCCAAGGTAATACTTCCTGTTTATGGCCACTGAAGCTATGACAGGGAGCACAATAACATTAGGTGGAGCAAGTTTTCAGCTATAAAGCACTATATACACCCATGCCTGTTTTGATATCATGTCTTTTCCTTTCTTTTCCCCTTTTGTTATTATCTTTTCCTTTCTTCCTTTTTCCTTTTCTTTCTTTTTCTTGCTTTGATCGTTTTGCTATTCATTTTGGGGAGTTGACAGTTTTATAGAGCCACACAAAATATGGCTTGTCAACACTGCTGAAATGCATTACCCACTTTCTAACTGTGCTCACGTCCACTATTTGGTCTCTTTAAACATTCAGTAAGAATCAGTAAAAGTAACTTTTTTTTTTTTCTGTGTAACAGAATTTATTGACACACCTATGCTTCATATACACTTTCATGTCAGATGTCATTTTACTGGGATGCTGCCCAGCTGTAGTCTGTAACAAGGTTAAAAAAAATATGGGTTATTGGCAAAAGGAGTTCAATCTCTGTTGTCATATATATTTTCATGTCAGGTGTCATTTTACCAGATTGCTGCTCAACTGCTGCCTGTAACATGGTTAAAAAAAAAAAAAGTATGGGTTATTGGCAGAAAGGGTTCATACTGCCAAAATTATAAATCTGGGTGTATTTTTTTCAGAGCAACTTGAATGTACAACAGGGCAGTATTTCATATAGAATAGATTAGCATCAAACTTTTATTTTAAAATAAACTCTGTCTGTATTTTGACTCCATATTGCTTCAAACATTTTTTAAACTTTTCCCCAGTTCTTGCTTCACATGTTTTTTTGAATATGTAGAATTCTTTAAAGTTTTCATTGATTTTACTAATCTATGACATGTTTTAGAATAACAATTTTCCTTTTCTTTATTTTTCCAGGAAAAAGATGTAAATGGCATAAAATTTTGGTGCTACACAGCTGGGCATGTTTTAGGGGCAGCTATGTTCATGATTGAAATTGCTGGGGTCAAGGTAAATTGGATGATCTTTCCTTTCACCTGTAAAATCTGGTATAGGTTCATAAAAAGAAAAAAAAATGCGTTAATTATAAGTTTCTTACTAGAAACTTCCTAAGCCAAAGCATGCCTCTACCATTTCACCCACAGAAGAACACTTTGGTTTAAGAATTGGTTTCCCTTGTGGTAATTTTCCAAAAATTACTGCTTACATTTTGGGTGTGGAACTGAAGCTAACAAAAATAAAATCATAAACGTCTCAATGGGGAAAAAACATGTTTTAACAGGTTATTCTGGCATGTTTTTGTTATTTTTTTTTTTATTTTTTTTTTTTCTTGTAGAGGTACACTTCGGTTGAAGAAGTGGTTTCCTTGAGGTAAGAAAAAAAGATGCAGGTTTGATTCGTGATGGAGGCAGAATTTTTCTTTAGAAGGACTTCTCAAGTTAGGCTAGTTATCAATTATCACTGTTTAATAAAATAAGACCACCATGCAGAAAAAAAAAACTGGGTAACAACTCGCACACATACTCACTAAAAATAACGTTTATAGTATATATATATATATATATATATATATATATATATATATATATATATATATCTCCAACATCCATCCACCCACAAATGAGAGAAAGAACAGATGAAGTAAATAACTTCCCCCACCTCCACCCTCCAAGTTTAATTTTCTATTTAGTGTAGATCTGGCCTTTAATTGGTTGATAAAGACAAACCCACAAGTCTATTTTTTATTCTGACCATGTGTTCAATCCCCCAAAAAAAAGGTAACATTTTACTTTTGAAATTTTTTCAGAAATTATTTAATCATCAGTCACTTACCATTCACTTGTAAAGATACAACATAGTGCTAAAACAAAAGCTAGCAATTTCAACATTTTTTTTTCTAATATCTAAATTATATATATATATATATATATATATATATATATATATATATATATATATATATATATATTATATGGATTAAATCTGGCAAATATTTAATACATTTTCTGTTTATATGTTATTTTTATGGATACAAATTATTTGAGTAGATGCTCCATTTTAATTAAACAGTATTAATTACATTTACCAGCCTGAATGTTCAAAATCTTGTATAAAATATGCGTTCTCCAAAACTGTATCCCATCTTTCTCAGAGCAGAAATGAATTATTGAGAAAGATCATTGAAAATGTTGTTTCTAAGCTGTAATTTGAACTTTGCTGACCAGAAAGTTGTCTGTGGCTGAATGGTTAAAAGCAAGTCAGTCTATATGACTGTTTCCATATGGGATACAGGTTTGATTCCTGTCCGAGAGCTCAAACTGCATGTTCACATGTATAATGCCTTTTTTTTTTTTTTTTTTTTTGTTTTGTCGCACTCAACGTTTTTATTCTTCAGGTTTTGTACACAGGAGATTTCTCTAGACAAGAAGACCGTCATTTGATGGCTGCTGAGATCCCTTCAGTACGGCCTGATGTAGTCATCATTGTAAGTAACATGAAGTTTCTATCTGTCAGTTTTATGCAATAACTACGCTCTTAGAGTTGCACTTCCTGAACCTTTACCATGCTAATTTCTTTCTGGAATTGCTCCCCCTGCCACTGCATTTTCTTTTTTAAGGGTGCAAAAACAAGAACATCTACTGTTTTAAAATTGTCACTTTCTTTGTACTGTGCGTATAGATTTTAATTTTTGTGCATTCATAAAAGAATGAATGAGTAATATTTTGATGTAATGCATTACATATTGCAAATTGATGTTGAAAACAAAAAAAAATTGAAATGCAAAAGAGAAAAAAAAACATTAAAATTACATAAATGATTCAACATATAATTTATTACTACTTTCATAGATCTGGGGCTGTAATAAGAAGCAAAATCACTAAGAAGGCTTTCATTTCATCAAAAAAGTGCCGCGATTCCTTGTGTTTACATAATAAAAGACACTAGCATTTGTTTGCTGTTTCTTTCACCTGGCTCGTTGATTTGTCTCATTGATGAATAAAGTTATTTCGTCATTTGTAAATAGACAAAATAATTAACCTTCAGAAAGGTTATTAGGTATATCGATGGTCGCCAGTAGCTTTCATAAAATTAGTCAGGCATGGATGATAGTAGCTGCTAGTGGTCATCATTGCTTTCAGTGTGGTTATCATCATTGACCACTTCACCATCAATATCCACTTGAGTAATGCATTCAAAATCATCATTGGAGTCCTAATCAAAGGAAAAACTCCTGAATAAAGCCGTTGTTGGATACTGATGCAGCCATTTTTGTTTACAAAAAATCGCGAAAAAGAATTAACGTGGGTTTAATCGATGTTACACTTCGTTTAGAGTCTAGAAGAATTCAAAATGGCATTGGAAAACTGAAGTTTAGCCTTGTTCCAAAGCAGTAGTAGATGATTTCCAGCTTAAAATACTGGAAGTAACTGTTGACAAGTGTTTATTTATAGCAACTGTCTGAAGGCGACAGAATGCGCCTAAAGTAGGAAAGGGGGGAGAATGCTATGGTGACTTTTTTTTTTTTTTTTTTTTTTTTGCTGCGACGGGCTATAAGGTGCCCAAACTATTACGTAGCCCTTAGAGATCCAACTCTGGTCAAGAGTTGCATAACATCAGAATATTTGAAGTGCCATATTGTGCATAGATAGGTATACCTGTATGTATTTCAGTGGTCACATTTTGAATTAGCCTTAGCCACAGTTTCTATTGCCATAGACGATGGAAAAATGGTAATTAATGAATTAAAAATTAAAATAATCTGTAATACAGATTTAGAAGTTTACCATTTGTCCATGCATTGAATATTGCTGTCACCTCTGGTCTTCTGCTTCTGGCATATATTTAAAGATTGTAAGTAAAATACAAAGAATTTGCAATGTTATTGGTCTTGGTGTGGTATCTCAGCTTGAGTCATTTTCCCACAATTAATATAGCTTCCCAGTTTTTTTTTTTTTTTTTTATATTATATATATATATATATATTTATATATATATATATATATATATATATATTTGTAGGATTTGTTCTGACAAGCTTTCCTCTTTGATACCTTGACCTTACGGATTTAAGCACAGTACTAGATTGGCAGATAGGTCTGATCGTCTTACAATTGAAATGGCAAGATGTAACCTTAAGTTCTATGCTAACAGTTTCTTCTCTCACACTTTTCACCTGTGGAACTCTCTTCCTGCGTCTTGCTTTCCAGTTAACTTCAATCTTCAACGCTTTAAATGCTATGTCAGCCATTATGTTAATTCCTGTTCTTTTATTGTTCTCTCTCTTTAATAAGGTTTTTCTTTTACTCATATTCATTCTTAGTAACCGCCTGCATCTTAGTGGCTTTATTGCAAATGATTAAAAAAAAAAAAAATAAAAATGATTTTCATTCTTTAGACCTTCCTTAGGCTACAGCACTTGGTAAAATCAAAAAAATTTTTTTTTGTTTGTTAGAAGAGGATGTGCTGTTCAAAATATCAAAATAATGTTTTTTTTTTGGTTTTTTTCCTGTCTTTTTCAAGACAGTTTTAACCATTCGCAACCATTTCTTCACACACAATGGCAAAAATTTTGCTTGTACTGATCCATTCATTAATATGAATGGGGGGAAAAAGGTTAAGAGTACTTAGCATTGGGTAGATTTGGTTTTGTGCTTTTATATATATATATATATATATATATATGTATATAAATAAAAAGAAAGAACAGTAAGATATAAAATCCGGTGTTCTTATAGATATTTTATTTTTACAAAATAGTGCTCAATGTAAATTTACAGAGCATTAATATTATAAATTAATTGATTAACCATATTTTAAATCAATTAATTTATAATATATATATATATATATATATATGTGTGTGTGTGTATCTCATCACTTCATGTTGAGAATGTCACCATTATTCCTTAGTACAACCCAAAACCGCTAATGGCACTTCGCTGAAAACATCACTGTTGATGCATGTCAAAGCATCAAACAGGTGTATTTCGCAAGACAAAAAGGTTGATTTGATTTAATTTATTCACCGTTAATGGAATCAATCCTCAAACAATTTGAGTAGTTTTTATAGTTTTTGTTCTCTTAATCATTCTTTGTCTGTCATTTTTGTCTTCAGGAATCAACTTATGGCACACACATCCATGAAAAAAGAGAGGACAGAGAAGCTCGTTTTACAGGCTTAGTTCATGATATTGTCAGCCGAGGTGGGCGATGTTTGATTCCGGTTTTCGCTCTTGGGCGAGCTCAAGAGCTGCTCCTGATTTTAGGTAAGCATACCACCTAATCCTTCATTGTGACTCTGCTTTCATAACAGATTCTGGAAAATTAGATAATAATTCAATGAATTTCTTAATTGCTGCTCTTTGATCTGTTTCTTTAGAGCAGTTATTTTCAACTGTTGTGCTGTGAAAATCTTTTAACGATCATTAATCAAATTATCTGCAAAAGAAGTCCAAAGCACAATAAGTGTACATATCAAAATTAAAACCTCATTCAATTGATTATATAAATATATCATTGTTATTAAATTTTACATGATTTTGGTCATCCCTTAAGAGTGAATTTTCAAATATTTATAAAAAAAAAAAAATCGTACAAATATTTCTTTCATTCTTAATGTCATATTTGTGTGAATCTAATTTTTCTGCAATAAACTAGATCAAAAACGAAAATTGATCACTACTAGACTCCTTGGAAGAAGATTTAAGAGTAAGCCTGTTCAAAATTCGACCTTGCAAAGATTTTCTAAAAAAAAAAAAAAAAGTGCAATAAAAAAGAACAGAATTGAAAAGCATTACTTTAGGGCTTTTCAGTTTCCATTCTTCAGTTGCATTGGCAAAAAATAAATCCTTGTGGTTGCAATTGGTAATATCAGCTTTGGCCTTGTGCCTGATTTTCTAAGCAGAATAACTTGAAAATGTTTTTTAAAAAAAAAAAAAAAAATTCATTATTATTATTATATATTTACATCTCAAAATAATGTTTGTGCCTGAGTGTATTATTTTTTTTTTCCAGATGAATATTGGTCAAACCACCCAGAGTTACACGAGACCCCAATCTATTATGCCTCTTCTCTAGCAAAAAAATGTATGAGTGTCTACCAAACTTACATCAATGCTATGAATGACAAGATTCGGCGGCAGATCACCATCAGCAATCCTTTCGTCTTCAAACACATTTCTAATTTAAAAGTAAGCTCAACTATTTCTTTCTCTGCTTAATGTTTTTCCACTTTGTTCTCCTGATGAAATCTGTTCCCCATGGACTAGTCATGGTTTAGCCCAAACCGACAAATTTTAATTATTGTTAAAAATTCTTTATCATTCTTTTGTGTGTGGTCATTTTCACATCTGAGATTTATCATTTTTCTTTATCCTCTAAAAAACCCTTTGGCCAACAAGTGACAAAAAGAGAACAATCCCTTGATTTTGGAGTTTTATCGTGTTTCAGCAGACAAAAAATTTCATTATCATTCTTTTATCTATTTTCTGCTGGAAATCTGTCTGCTTTTAAGAGTTAATCCTTACCAATTGAAGTCACAGCCAGAGGTCAGTCTTCCTCTCCATCATTCAATGATCATAAAAATATTATCTAATTCTTTCTGGGGGGTCCCATCACTTAATCTCAGTCTTAACCAAAACCAGATGGTCTCTTTGTTTTACGTCTGTGGCAAACGAGAAATTTAATTACCTTCTTCTAGTTTTTCCCATTAAAAAAAATCAACTATCGTTTTCTTTCACTTTCCCGCGTCTGGTCATCGGTATATCTTCAGTCTATCAGAAATTAGTGTTTTTCTGTCTTCTAGTTTGTTTGGGTTTTTTGGGGGTTTTTTTCTTTTTTCTTTTTTTTTTTTTTTTTCTTTTTTTTGATTTACTAGCACCTTTCCAATCATGTTACAATTTCGTCTTTGCAAAACTATATATGTAAAAAATATTATAGAATTTTTATTTTTATTTCTTTTACATCCTGTAAAAGACATTTCAACTTCTGTCATAAAGTACTTTTATTTTTGTTCTGTACTTATTTCTTATCTACAAAGATTATATATATATATATATATATATATATATATATATATATAGTCTTACATTATAGCATTTTTATTTCTTCTATATCCTTTCAAAGATTTTGGTTCTAATTCTGTTAGAAAATATTGAAGAATGAATAGGTATGATATAAAAGCCACAATATCTTTTCTTTGATATAAACCAGTTATAATGATATAGGCCTACTCAAGTTAGGGGTGTATGCATAGGCCTCATGAGGTTTGTAGGCCATAATCACTCTAATTACATAGAGGAGTTGGAGGTGCCAAAAATAGAGGAGTCGAAGGTTTTGTTACAAATCTGCAGCCCGGATATCATACATTTTATCTGATCTAAAATCAAACAAAAAAAGTAATTCCACTAAAAAATAAAGCTTAAGCAAAAAAAAAAAAAAAAAAAAAATGACTAGTTATGTAAAGCAATTTTAATAAACCAAACATGTCCTTTCTCTTACCCTTTCTAAAGAGCATGGAACATTTTGACGATATTGGGCCCTCAGTGGTGTTGGCCAGTCCCGGTATGATGCAAAGTGGCCTGTCACGAGAATTGTTTGAGAGTTGGTGTATAGACAAGCGAAATGGAGTAATTATTGCTGGTTATTGTGTGGAAGGAACTCTTGCCAAGGTATGTGAAAACAACTTACTCTAACTATTTTTTTTTTCTTAGTATCAAGTGAAAATTTATTTATGTAAAATGTCAAAGGGATATCAATTTTTGTTTCAAACATGTTTTAGTATATATCTTTTTAATTAAATGTAAACCTCCATTTTATTTATTTATATTTATATATATATATTATATATATATATATATATATATATATATATATATATATATAATATACACACACACACAGGGGGTAATGGTTAAATTGTCGCCATATTTTTAACTTTGTGCATGTACATTTTTTTTATTTTGTCAACTGCATAGTATAGTTGGGTCAGTTGAGCAACATCTATAAGAAAAAGAGCACCATGGCACAATTAACTCTACCAGAAATTTGGAAACGGCATATTGTACTGCTTGATATTCCCTTTGGAAGCTCCAATACGAACATTTCAAAGTGTTTGAGTGTCAATTTGAAGACAGTGCAGAGGATTCAGAAAGAGTTGGATGAGTCTAATGGTGATTATGAAGGAGTTTGGACTGATCACTAGTGATGGCGACGTTATGCCTCCCTTCATCTTCCCACTTGAGAGTGTTGTCCTGGGTCAAGAGGGTATCTGTTGGATGACCCTATGTCTGGCAACAGGATGCTGCACAATGCCACACAAGCGGGAGAACCCAGTCATGGCTGCCAGACAATTTCTGTGACCACATCACCCCTTATGGCAGTATTCACTAACTTAAAGGGGGAGACCATCCAGGAGATTTACAGGAAATTCCAAAGTCGTCTGGAGGCCATGGGTGAAGCTAATGGTAATTTTTATTGAATAAATTTGCTTCATGAAATCGCTAAATAAAAGAGGATATCATGATAATAAACGACCTTAAACTTGCTGAAAATGATATTTTATCATCTAAATATTTGTTATTCTTAAGAGGAAAGATCAAGGTATTGTTTTTTTTTTTTTTTTCATCCTTTTTAGAACATTCTAACTTTTGATTAAAGAAAAAAAAAAGTTTCTCTTTGCAAAAGTGTCATTACTAAATAAACATTGCAAATTTTAACTTTTTTTTTTTTTTACATATGCCACACTCCAGCAACACTCCCGCCCCCATCCCCACAACAAACAAACACGTTTCTAGTTTTTATGAAAACTAGAAATTCAATGCTTTTTTGTTTGTTTGTTTTTTTCTTTTCTTTTTTTAATATATTAGTTAAAAGCCTTTTGAAGAATTTAAATTTTTTTTTTCTTGTAAAATCAAACAATCAGTTACCAAAATTCAGCTCTGAATTGTAACATAAAAAAACTCAGTAAAACAAAGATATTTAATTTCAAAAGCTTTTAGTTGCTTTTATGAATAAGGACAATATTGTCTAAAGCCAAAGATTTTTTTGTCAACAAATAAATTTTTACAGCAATTATTTGTCATTTCTTACATTAAAGTTGTTGAATATTTTAAGCTTAGTGGAAAAGCTGTTTATTTTAGGCAGTGATCTTAAGTGGATATATCTTTACAGATCTTAAATCATACAGCTTTATTGCAGACAGCCAGTATGTACAAATAAAATTTTAAAATGTTCTTGTGTCTATAAAAATATTTTATTTCAAATGTATGGATGGCCCCAAGAAGTGTTTTTGATGTGTTAATTGATTTATCTTCAGATTGTAATAAATGTTAAAAGATATGATTAATAAATATAGTTTTACTTAATAACGATATTCCTTAAAAATTATCGCATTGAAGATATCTCGTACAAAAATATCTTGCAAAATCTTTATAAAATATTCAATTTTAAATTGTAAAAAATGAAAAATCTTGTTAAAAAAAAAAAAATTCATTTTTCATCAAAATTTTTTTTTTTTTTTCTACAGACAGTATTGTCTTTAATATATATTAGGCAGGAAGAAGAAATTTTTTTCATTGACTTCCACTTCCTAGTAGCCCCTTGAATTATAGTAGCATTTGTGTCACGGGGTGGATTGATTAAAAAGGCGGAAATACTTGGCATTTATGGTCTTCACTGTAATAAAAAACAAACAAAAAAACACTGAATTTAAACTTTAAAAACAAAAATAAGTGTGCCGGGAAATTGAATCTTTATTTGTGTGTTATGTATACCTTTTTTTTTTTTTTTTTTCTTAACTGGATTTGTGTTATATTAGGATGATCAGAGAAATGCTTATTGAATATCCTCATGAGCTTGACCTGTGCTCACACTTCCTCATACCCCATGTTTAATTTAATCTGAATGCTTTTATTTTTCAGCATGTGTTATCAGAACCTGATGAAATTGTGACAATGACTGGACAGAAATTGGCACTCAGATGTTCCGTAGATTATATCTCATTCTCTGCCCATACAGATTACCAACAGACAAGTGAATTCTTACGAGCCTTAAAACCTCCCCATGTTGTGAGTAACCATACATAAGCATTTATTTATTTGATGTCTTTAAATTGACATTTCATATTTTCTTTAAATCAAAGTGCTGATTTTTACACCTTTCTCAAGAGGTTACATAAATTTTTTTTTTTTTTTTATGGTGGGTGTGATACTATGGAAAATCTGCATAGACTGCAAAGAGGCAGTTTTATCTCAATTTGAAGTGTTTCTGTTTGATAGACAGTTAAGTTTGATCTCCTCAATGGCATCCACTTTAATGGAATGGTAAGGGAAGGGACTTTGGGGATTAAGTGGCAACGAAACTGGGTACTGGTCTGTATTGTCGTGCTTGAGACTGGGGAGATGTTGATCCATCCTCAGTGGGAAATGGCTGTGTCTTGTGTAGTGCTGAAGGCTCCATTTTTGTATTGCCAGCCATCATGTTGGCATGACTAGATGGGCGAGGGGTTTGTAGAAGGAAAAACTGACAAGCATAGGTCGTCCCAAGTATCACTGCATTAGTACCATACATATCTGTGGAATAAAGTTAACCCCCATTGGCCTAGAAGGTGATCAGTGCTTTGCCCAAGACGGAAAGTACACCTTCATGTACCGACTGCAATCAATTTCTCACAGTCAAACATATCTTGATAGAATCTAAGAAGCACAAAAAAATACATAGCAACTAATACCAAGCACAAATTCTTAGCATATTCTTCAAAGATGTGCCCAAATAGGATATCTGAAGAAAATAAAATACTTCTAACTTCTATAGAAAATAGAGCTTGAATTTTGAACCATACAACTTAAGTCTTGAAATACTCCCAAACTATACAACTTGTGATATTTTAAAAATAATTTTAAAACCTCACAACCACTTAAAACCACTTGAAACATTTTTGAATAAAAACCCAATTTCAGCATTAAATGGCCGACAAGGATTCAGTCATAATTGATCTAGTGAGGTAAGCTTCCCATTGTGCTAGAAGACCATTGATCCTTACAAAAGAAGGTTTATTGGCCCATTGATAAATTCACTTTATGGTAAAATCCACATCAGTAACTTCGTTCCATTCAAAGTTTTTCAGAAAAAGTGCTGCAAATTTTCAACGCCTGATATCTTCATATGTATGCGATAAACTGAATTTTCTATGGCTGCCACCAGTGTCTTGAGTCTTGATGAAGACTAATACTCTGGGCATAAGAAATATCCCAAAATAGCACTTCCCCATTTTCTGCTGATTCAGGTTCTGGTTCATGGAGAACAGAATGAGATGAACCGTCTCAGAGCAGCCTTGATCCGTGAGTATGAAGATGATGAGAATTATCGGATGCATGTAAATAATCCCAGAAACACAGTGGCAGTGGAACTTCACTTCCGTGGAGAGAAAATGGCAAAGGTAGGTTTTTTTTTTTTTTTTTTTTTTTTTTTTTTTTTGTTGTTGTTGTCATTTTTGTTTTTTACATTCTAATTCAGCCACCTTTTCTTTCTTTCTTTCTTTCTTTCTTTCTTTCTTTTTCTTTTTTTTTTTTACCCATATTCTTCATGTCTACATTGGTATTGTTTTTTATAATTGCTTAATTTTTATTTTTCCTTTTTTTTCTTTCTTTTCTCTCTCTCTCTCTCTCTCTCTTGTGACAGCTTTAAATTATATTTCTGTTTTTACTTTTTCATTTCTAGGCATTAAAGAAGACATTTATGTCCACCGCATGAATTTATTCCTCACTATGAGTCGGTCACCATTATAACATTACTTGTGAAAATAGATTTTTTTTCTCAGCATCTGTTTGGCACTTATTGATCAGCAGTTACTATTTCTTTTTATTTGGCTTGTTTGTATGTACAACCATTATGCCTTTTAAGTCTAGCTAGTGATCTGCCCAGTCACTGGCCCAACTGGAATCATTCATGCTTTCTGACCCTGGAGTCTAAATGATAGTGGGGGAAAGAACTGGGAGGAAGGGAAGTGAGGGCAAAGGGGGCAAGAGAGCTACAGAGAAAGGGAGGAATAAGAGTGTAACTGGTAGGAGGAATGGAGGTTAGAGAGAAAACAGGTGAAAGGAAAAAAATATAGAGAGATATTGGGGAAGAGATGTAGATAAAAGAAAAACGTAGACAAGCTTTCTGGTAGCATAAATTTAAAAGGCTATGAGGGGAAAGGTGTAAAAATTGCCATACAAGAAATGGAGTGGTAGAAAGCTGAAAGAGAGAGAAGATTAGCAAATATTTGTGCAAACCTTACTCAGTTTTTTTTTTTTTTTTTTCATATGATACTAATCCTGTCATCCTCATTTGCCATACCATCATTTTTTTTCCCTTTTAAATAGAAAACAGATAAGCAATAAAGATTAAAAAGGTCAAGGGATAAAATAAGATACAGGAAATATCTAAGAGAAGCATAAAATAATGGGTAATGTTACTAGATAATTTTGTGGAAATTTTCCAGGTCTTGTTAATTATTGGTGACAATAATTTTTTTTTGTAATAAAGTTCAAGAAATATATCACAGTAGCTAACAAACGACTGTCATCTTCATTCTCCATGTCCTCATTGACAGAAGGCTACCACAGCATCATTGACAGAAGACATTAATATTAATTTGCCAGGCCTTCATTAACAAAGGACTATCATCTTCATTTGCCATACCCACATTAACAGAAGACAGTTTTCTTCATTTCATATAACATCTTTAACAAAAACTGCCATCCTCATTTGCTCTCCCACCATTGACAGAAGACCGTCATCCTCATTTGCTCTCCCATCATTGACAGAAGACCGTCATCCTCATTTGCTCTCCCATCATTGTCATCCTCATTTGCTCTCCCATCATTGACAGAAGACCGTCATCCTCATTTGCTCTCCCATCATTTCATCCTCATTTGCTCTCCCATCATTGACAGAAGACCGTCATCCTCATTTGCTCTCCCATCATTGACAGAAGACCGTCATCCTCATTTGCTCTCCCATCATTGACAGAAGACCGTCATCCTCATTTCCTCTCCCATCATTGACAGAAGACCGTCATCCTCATTTGCTCTCCCATCATTGACAGAAGACCGTCATCCTCATTTGCTCTCCCATCATTGACAGAAGACCGTCATCCTCATTTGCTCTCCCATCATTGACAGAAGACCGTCATCCTCATTTGCTCTCCCATCATTGACAGAAGACCGTCATCCTCATTTGCTCTCCCATCATTGACAGAAGACCGTCATCCTCATTTGCTCTCCCATCATTGACAGAAGACCGTCATCTTCATTTGCTCTCCCATCATTGACAGAAGACTCATCTTTTGCCATATGATCATTAATAGAAGACTATCATCTTCATTAGCCAGTTTATCTTTGACTGAAGACTGCCATCTTCATTTGCCATACCATCATCGACAGAACATGACCATCCTCATAGCCATACACTCACCATTGACAGAGTACTTATCTTCTTTTAACATACCATTGTTGGGACATTAGTGTCGTTAAATCTATCAGAAGGATTTGTTGTTAATGGTTGTGTGTTTCACTGCGTCCCAAACAAATAAACAAACAATCGTTATGTTCAAAGCAAGAAAAACGAGACATATATAGATTAAAAACAATATAACATTTATATACAATTGGTCATTTACAATCTGGAATAAAATCTGTGTGAATTGTGTGCGTAAAGTTGTATGTGTATGTTTGAAATAATGAATGTCTCTTGTTTCAGTAATGTTAGATTAATTTCTTGTTTGTGTCTAAGATTGTGATAGTGAAATTTAAAGGTTCTGAAAAAGAGTTTGTTCAAGTAGTCTACCCTTAATCGTATTTGTATTCTTATCTTAGTAATGAATATAATTCATTATATATAAGAAACTAAGTAAAAGGTTCAAGAATCGTTCGTCGAATGTTCAGAGTGAGTCAGTGAATGTTCTTTGAAAGCGCGGCAAAATTATGGTTCAAACGTCGTGGAGTATTTTAGCAATTACTCGGTGAGTTAGCTTAGACTGACTGAATGGGGCTGTCTGCTTTTCCTTTTATATTATTTGAGTTTCCAAAAGTGGCTCAACTCGTTTTTGCGCAATTTCTGTTTCTGTAAACGACTGACCAATGGAATTGCTTGCTTCGATTTTCGCCATTTCTATTGGTTGAGGTTTTTAGTACGTAGGCGTACGATGTGGACTGTACCTTTTTTAGGTTAGAAAAGGTGAAGATAATGGATGAGTCCACACCATCATCAGTGATAGAAGACTGTCTTCCTCATTTGTTATCCCATCATTGACAGACAACTGCTCTACCATCATCATTGCCAGAAGAGTCATCCACATTTGCCATCCCGTCTTTGACAGAAAACAGTCCTCTTCATTTGCCCTACCATTATTGACAGAATTCTTCATTTACCATGCAGTCATTGGCAAAAGATTGTCATCTTTTACCATACCATCATTTGCCATACTATCATTGACAGAAGACCGTCATCCTTCATTCATCCCATCATTGACAGAAGATTTTCATTGACAGAAGGCCGTCATTTTCTCCCATCATTGACAGAAGACCGTCATCCTTCATTTTCTCTCCCATCATTGACAGAAGACCGTCATCCTTCATTTTCTCTCCCATCATTGACAGAAGACCGTCATCCTTCATTTTCTCTCCCATCATTGACAGAAGACCGTCATCCTTCATTTTCTCTCCCATCATTGACAGAAGACTGTCCCCTTCATTTGCTCTCCCATCATTGACAGAAGATCGTCGCCCTCATCTGCCATGCATTCACCGTTGACAGAAGACCGTCGTCCTCATCTGCCATGCCATCACTGTTGACAGAAGACCTTTGTCCTCATTTGCCATACCATCATTGATAGAAGACTATCATCCTCCTTTGCCAGTTTATCTTTGACAAAAGACTGCCATCCTCATTACTCATGCCATCATCAACAGACCATGACCATCTCATTTGCAATGCCATCATTATTGACAGAAGACAGTTACCTTCTTTTACCATGCCATCATAATTGACAGCAAAATTTCATCCTCATTTGTCATGCCATCGTCGACAGACGACTTCTATACCATCATCATTGACAGAAGACTGTCCTCGCCCCTAGTCCTTGTCCTCGCTGACAGAAGACTGTCCTCGCCCCTAGTCCTTGTCCTCGCTGACAGAAGACTGTCCTCGCCCCTAGTCCTTGTCCTCGCTGAACGAGGACTGCTGTACCTTCATTTCCATCCCGTCATTGACAGAAGACTGCCATACCATCATCATTGACATGCCTTTATTGTCAGAAGTCTCTTGTCTTCATTTGCCATACCGTCCTTGAGAGAAGACTACAATACCTTATTTGCCATACCACCATCATTGACAGAAGACTAATCTTCATTTACTAGGTCATCTTTGACAGAAGACTGTCATCCTCATTTCAATGCCAACTTCTCCTCAAATCTCATGTGCTATACATGCGGGTTGGGGACCGCTTGTGAATTCCAAATTCCCATGAAACTCCGATATTGGAGCCAGCTCAACCCACCTCAGGCGAATGCCGTTACAAGGACAAGGAAGCAGGAGTGCTGTGAACTCCTGTTTTGCTGACTTATATTTCTCTTCCAATAGTTATCAGACCTTGGCATGTGTAGAGGCGCTATCTCCAGTGTCTATGACGTGTGTTACTTTTGTGTTAGAAACTCGAGGCTGCTCCGTACGTGGTCTGGTGAGATTTGGAAATTGTTAGAGAAGGAACTGTTTGTCAGGAGTTGAAGTATAGTAGCCCAATTTGGGATCCATAAGTCATTAGAAGGTCTGGGCAGCATTACGTAAACCAAATGGCATTTTTAAGAACTCATATTTGCCAAACGGTGTTGTAACTGCTGTCTTACAGATGCCTTCATCAGGTTTTTTTTTTTTTTTGATGAAGGTACCCTATAGTCCAGGCACAGTCATGGATATGAGGAACAGAGTAGAGGCTTGGTACAATTGACGTATTTAATTTTCTGTAATCGTCTCCTATATGATATTCCTTGCCACCAGGCTTGTCATCGCCACTCTCCACTTTATTTGTTTCCCTGGACTGATGTGTACTTACAGGGAGGTCTGCAGTTCCTGGCTTCAGCGCCAAATGTACAATGAAACCAACAAATGCCCTGGTTGCTTGACCTTTCTCGTCTGGGTGTTCGCCTCTGTAATTATCGGGGAGGTGTCAATCTCCTTGTCCGTTGGCATAGAGAGATCTATATTTCCCATAATTGTCTCTGCAGGTTGGCCAACACCTGTCCTGTCACACTCTGTTCGTATCATTTGCACTTTGTTGTGTCAGGGGTTTGAACTGCGTTTACAGTGTGGTCAAATTGGGTGAAAACTAGGTCAGCAGACTCTGCCAAATCATCCAGAGACGTGACTCTTGTCATCAGGGCGATAATCTGGGCAAAC